TAACGGCAAAGTCAGGGTTCAAACCCACCAGCCAGTCCTCAGAAATCATATATAGGTTTGCTATGTGTCAGAATCAACTCCACAGCACTTAACAATAGCAACCCTAGAGTTGGCAACCAAGCTTCTTAACTCTGGTTTAACTTAAATCAGTCATGTTTCTGGGGGTGGTTTTCATGCTTTCTCCTTGTTCTCTGGCATTTTTTTATTATTAACTTGCTTCCAGACTGGACTATCTAGCAGGGTTTGTTTCTTTTTTTTTGTTTTTTTTGAAACTTTCCTGTTGCTTCCCTTTCCCCCACCCTACCCCCATACCTAATTTATGCTTTATGGGTACTGGAGAAGGTGTCAAAAGCTGTTGCTGGCATTCCTGCTTATGTCCATGAAGTTTTCCTATTTTGCATGCAATGAAAAATCCTACCAAATCTGTAAGGTAAAGATGCCTTTTTGAGTTGGTAGCATCCATGTTGTAACAAACTGCTAAGCACATGCAATGCTTTAGCACTCCATTCCTTTAACTATAATTTATATATCCATATTTGGTTTAGATTAGGTATAATTTATGAAGCAACCCCACAGGATCTTTCTGGCCACTTTAAGTCCATCCTTGTCTAGAGTCCAGGAAACAGTTGTTAGGGTCCTTTCCTGCCTCATAATTCTAAGACCTTTAATGTCACTGCTCTAATGACTTCCTAATCTAAATTTTCCTCTTGTTAAATTTTTTGAAAGGTACTCTTTGTACCTATGAGAAAAGAATGTTATATTAACATTATATAACAGTAGTATTGAGATGCTCTTTTCACCACAGGTAAGGAAATGTGGCCATAATATTGTATGGCTGGTAGAATCTGCAGGAACTATTTTTAATCATTAGGCAAGAAAGCACAGTCAAATTAAAAGTACTTGCCTTTAATCTCTAGCTGAGTAAATCTCCTTTTAAAAACATTTCAGAATTATATGTAATTTTAAACCTGAAAGGAACTTTGACTAGGAAATGGGGACCAGAAAGCTTAAATGATTTGCTGAATTAAGTAGTAACTAAGCTAGAACTACAAGGTCAGAGGTTCAAGATCACCTATGAGCTTTTATTCCTTGGAAACTCTATACAGGGTCGCTATGGGTCAGAACCGACTCGACAACACTTAACAACAACAAGCTAGGACTTAGCTTCAAAATGCAAACCTTATTGTAATTTATTACAGGAGATGATACAACCAGACCAAGATATGAATCATAACCGAAGCATTCATTGAAGTTTAAGCCAAAATTTTGATGACCTTTAGGATGTGCAAATTAAACTCTTTGTGTTTAAAAAAAAAAAAAAAAAAGCTTTTATTCTTTTTTTTTAAGGAAGTTGCTTTTAATACTGGTTGGTGATAAACTCCAGGGAAGGCAAGTTTTAGTGTATCTGGCTTTCTGCTGCCAAAATAATTTTTTAAAATACTTCTTTAATCATGTGACTTCTGTTCAATAATATGTTTAGTAGTGCATGTTATCTGTCCCTAAAAAGTTTTTTTTTTTCCTTTTTAATTGCTACTTGACCTCAAGAAATTCTTAACTATTCCCAATTTTTTCCCAGCCAGAATATGTGGTGTTTGTACAACAATGATTATCTACAATCTCTCAGGTTTGCAGACTGAATGGAATTAATTTTTTAATGTGGAAAATCTCTTCACCCTTGTTTTTGTTGTTAGTTGTCATTGAGTGCGTTCCAACTCATAACGACCATATATGGAGTTTCCAAGGAGCAACTGGTAGGTTTGAACCACCAACCTTGTGGTTAATAGTCCTTATTAGAGCTAACCTAAACCAAAAACCAAGCTCACAGTCAATGAATTAATTGCAACTCATAGTGGCTATATAGATCTTTACATTTGGAAAAGACAGTCTCATCTTTCTCCCACGGAATAGCTGGTGGGTTTGAACTGCCAACCTACAGTGACACAAGGGCTTCTTAGAATGGACCTAAAATGACCCTTTATTTTTGTCAAAATTAAAGATGAATGATATAGTCATGTAAAGAAAAGAGTTAGGTGAAGTAGCAGAGAATTAGTCACATTTCTCCAGAACTAATGATTAATAGGAGTCCTGGTGTGGCGCAGCAAAAGTCATTTGCACTGCAAGGTCGGTGGTTCAAGCTAACCAGCTGCTTCTTGGAAACCCTATACAAGGTCTCTAGGGTCAGAACCGACTCGACGGCACTTAACCAGAACAACAACAATCATTAATATAGGAAAACCAGTGTGGTGCAAACAGATAAGCTCTCTCTCAACAACTAGCTGAAAGGTTGGTGTTTTGAACACACACCACTGTACCTCAAAAACAGGTCTAGCGATCTTCTGAATGGTCAAAGCATTAAAAGCCCTATGGAGTCTTTGTCTTCGTATACATGGAGTCACTGTAAGTCAGAATCAACTCGAGCACCTAGCAACAGCGAGCATTGATAAATAAAGCACCCAATGTAAATACTGACCATTTAAATAAAGAATGTACTAATAAAGACATTAAAAAGTAGAGAAAATTAATCTCTATTTATAAAATTACCAATTTATCTTTAGCAACTATAATGCTTTTTATTTTATTTTTGACTTTTTATGATTCCTTTTAAAAAGGAGCCATACCTAGAGCTGAGAGTGAAGCATCCAGCTGATAAGAAGTGAGGCGAGACACACAAGAACACCCAGATTTGCAGATCGTACCCAATTGACCTAGCCTCAGTTGCTTGATAATCAGAACTCAACTTGTTATTTGGTGCCATCGAGTCGGTACCAACTCATAGCAACCTTATACACAACAGAATAATACACTGCCCGATCCTGGGCCAACCTCACTACTGTTGCCACACTTGAGTCCATCGATGATACCACTTGGCCAATCCATCTCACTGGGGTTCTTCCTCTTTTTCTCTGACCCTCCACCTTACATGATATCCTTCTCCAGGGACTGGTCCCTCCTGACAATATGTCTGAAGTGTGAGAGGCGAAGTTTGGCCATCTTGGCCTCCTAGGAGCACTCTGGCTGCACTTCTTCCAAAACGGATCTATTGGTTCTTTCGGCAGTGCATGGCACTTTCAGTATTCTCCTCCAACGCCATAACTCAAAAGCATCAATTCAACTAGAGGAAGATAAACAATTTTTGATAAAGGAAACAAGTGTAAATTGCTACAATTTGATGAACTTGACCTATACTTATGGATGTAGTAGCTCAAAATACCAACAGAGAAGGAAGGAGCCTTCATATCAAGTGTCAATCTTATCCCCTCTGTACACAGGGTAGATAGGGATGGGCAACTTAGACATTGGCTACCTAAAATGAGGGGCTGATAATAAAGGCACAAAGTGACTGGCTTGCAAGATTTCAAGAGGGAGTTTAGTAAGAGTGCCAGGGGGAAGATAGAGTCCTCACTGAATAGTTTTCATCTTGTCTAGATGGGTCCGATGAAAGGAGATGGGGATAAAATTCTTATGATTCAATAGTAATTGTTATCATGACTAATTGCAACTGTCACAACTGTAAAGGTAGAAGTTCTGTAACAAAAACGGAGGTGTAGTTAATCTTAAAATCCAGGAACAGCGGACCCTAGGACCAGCAAGGGAGACGAGCACAAGCAGAATGCAGGACCTTATCCAGAGAAGCAGCGACACCAAAGATGGGAACATGGAGAGAGGGAGCAGCTGAGGATTCTAGACTCATGGAAAGAGAAAGGCTGTGTATTGGTGGTCAGGAGGCAGGCTTGCACAATGTGCCCTTTGGTTGTTTAATTATATATTCCTGATTGTGTTTGTGTATATCTCCCCACCCCCCAAAAAAGGGAAAACAGAGGGAATGGAAGCAAATACTGTTGATTGATGATGCACAGAGGAGATTGTTATCATTACAATGAAACGATGGTGTAAAGTTGCTGATCTCCCATGTAAACTCACTCAGTTCACAATAAAAAATAAATTAACTAAACAGGAGCCCTACATTGTGGTAAATGCAATCAATGTCATGTAGCACTTTATGTACCAACTATCAAATGATTAATTTGCTCTATAAGCTTATACCTAAAGCACAATATTGTTGTTGTTAAGTGCCGTCGAGTCGGTTCCAACCCATAGCAACCCTGAACAGGGTTTCTGAGGCTGTAAATCTTCACAGGAGCAGAACTCCTCTTTCTCCCGCGGAGCAGCTGGTAGTTTCGAACTGCTGACCTTACGGTTAGCAGCCCGATTCGTAACCAGTACGCTACCAGAGAAATTTTTAAATTAAAAGTAGCCTTTTATGGTGGTACAAGCGGTTGGCTGCTAACTTAAAGGATGGTTTTTCGAAGCCACTGAGCAACTCCCACAAATTAAGACCTGGTGATCTGCTTCATAAAGATTACAGCCTAGAAAACACTGTAGAGAAGTTTTACTCTGTTCTGTAGTATGTAGAATTCTCTATGAGAATTCACTTGAAGGGTAACCAGTAGCAACAATGCCTTTAAAAAGAAGTTGTGCAATTTTTCTGATCCTCGAAAACCTCGCACAGGGTCACTGTTAGTCGGAACCAACTCAATAGTAATTAACAAAAACAGCAATGTATATGATAAAGGGCATTGAAAGTGGTATTTATTTTATTTTGCATGTATCTTCCATTTAAATTTTAAAGAGTTCCTGTTATGTGTCTAGATTCTGGTACAGTCTAGCTAATTAACTATGAAATCTTTACCATTCTCATTTTTCATTTTCTTTCTTATAGAATAAAAGATGGTCTTTAGATATCTGTCATTATAGAAGGATCCCTAGTGGCACAGTGGGTTAAGTGTTGGGTTGCTAACTGAATGGTCTGCTCTTTGAACCTACCAGGTTCTCCTTGGGAGAAAGATGAGGCAGTCTGCTTCTGTAAAGATTTGAAGCTTTGAACAAATAGCAGATTTTCGTTATTAGAGATCTTTACATGATAATTATCTTAGCTGACTATATGACTACTCTCATAAGAACATATTACCATGTTTTACAATTTTGTCTTTTCTTCTAAGATCTCAGTGGTTCAATAGCATCTCCAGATGTCAAATTAAACATTGGTGGAGATTTTATCAAAGAATCTACAGCTACTACATTTCTCAGACAGAGAGGTTATGGCTGGCTGTTGGAAGTTGAAGACGATGATCCTGAAGATAACAAGCCACTCTTGTATGTAAAAATAATATGTATTTGTTTTTGGTTATTAGAGCTTATCTTTGGTATGGTTATATTCTTTCATGTTGTATGATAAGCACTAGACTGCTAACCACAGGACAGTGGTTGAAACCCACCAGGCGTTCCTCAGAAACCTTATACAGGGTAGCTATGAGTCAGAAATGACTCAACGGCACTCAACAACACCAGTATGGAAAAACTTGAACGTTTTTGGTCAAAAGCTGTGGTGATTTTTACTTTTCCTAGCTTAAAAAAAAAAGTATCTAGTAAATGGGAAAAATGTTTTAACCTATTGAATGGCAAAAATTAGACTAATGGAGATTTTATATCTTGGTGCACACACAAATATACACCAGCTTTGAGGACTTACCTGAGACTATCAGCTACCTCTAGTAAATATGCCATCTACTAAACAGGTCCTTGCTGTACAAATTCAGGCTTTAGAGAAATTAAGGCTTCCAAAAGATTACCTCTCAAATTTTTCCTGTTTAGAAATTCTTCACAGTACTTGAAATGTTTAAAATTATTTATTTATTACCTAGCAAATAAAGAAATTAACTATTTTGGAAAGAGGTACCTATGTTGTTGTTGTTAAGTGCCGTCGAGTCGATTTCGACCCATAGCAACTCTGTGAATCGCTGACCTTGCAGTTCAAATGGCTTTGCAGTCTGGCGCATTAACCCACAGTGCTACTACATCAGGACTCCCAGATGTACCTATGGTGGCTGTGTGCCATGGA